TAACTTTAATGATATTAGTATGAATCAAGTAGCTTCAAAGGTGCTTGGTGTTACTTGAGCTCTGGTTTTTGGGCTATAACTCTCAAGTTTTTAATTCTACCCTTAATAGTTCATTAATATGTATTCATGGTTTTAATGCAACTAATGTAGATAACTCTATTTTTAAATGTCTCTTGCCATGTTTGGCTACCTACAAAGTTTTATCTTTGAGATGGCTTGTTATTTTGTGTGAGATTTCCAGCACTAAGACCAATTTAGGGGAAGGGAAGATCTACTGGAATCCCCTCCTTCATTGTTTTACCCACTATACAATATTCATGTGTAGGAATCATCTTTGTACCTTCTTTGCTAATGTACTTTTTCTGCAATGGTTAGGTCTAATCTTTTACTCTTGGTAGGGTTTAACAATAATAATGGTCTTATTCTTCACTTTAAATGTCATTTTTCATTTCATTTTGTCCTTGTAAAAAGTGAGACACTAAGCAAAATTGACTTTGTTTTCTAATCCTTTTCAAAGATTAAATTCCAGAAACGAGTTTCAAATTTTAATTTTTAAAAGTAATTGAATTCTGAAAATTTATTTTTAGAGGATTAAATTATCTCGTCCATTGGAACAAAACTATTTAGGAAGTTTTTAAATTACGATAGTTTTAAATTATGACACTTTTTGCCTGTGTTTTTATAAGTATTTTATTATTTCTTTTATATTATTCTTGATCTTGGAAAAAAATTACTTTTCCATAAACTTTGTCATTGTTAAAACAATATATTTTTTGTTTATTAAAATAGTCAAATTGATGGTATATATATCAATTTGGTTATACGAGATTGAAAACAAACGTAAAATAGATATAAGGTTGTAATAATAGATAATTAACATAGTTTAATTTTTTATATAATAATAAATATGTTTTTTAACTGAATTAAAAGTAATATTTTAATATTTTAACAGTAAACTTTAAGTTCGTACAAAATTAAGATTGATTTCTTTTAAAATGTTTTATATTTTATAAAATATTTATTATTTTATATAATATTATTCTCATTTTCATAAAGTTAATTCAACAGTTGATAAATTTACTCATTTAATATTTTTTTTAAAAATTTCTCTCTAAATGACCCTCCAACTACTTTTTTTTTTTTTTTATGTTTCTAACTATAGATTCTTTATTGTTTTTTTTCTTCTTTATATATATAAAAAATTGGTTAATGAATTACAATTTTAAAAAGAATGCAAGGACCTTCTTTTCTTCTAACACTGGGCATTATTTATTCTTGCTTTACCCATCATTTCCTTTTATATGTGACTGTGATTGATTGATAAACAACAGAAAAGAAAAAGTTAGAATATTTGCAAGGAAGTCAAAGATGAACAGGATTAAACAAATCCACACACACACACATGTATCATACAAGTAAAGAATATGGTTCGTCCACAAAAACCAAGTGAAAGTACGTGTAAAACTTCAACAATTATATATATTACCATATTTTTATTTTTACCTTTTTCTTATTTTTGTCATCTTATCTTATCACATCATATTACTCATTACATTTACTTATATATATAGCTCTAGAAAATCCGTATATTTTGAGCTCATACATATATTTTATTCATATGATAAAAATACATTTCTTAAAATTTAAATAAAATATTATTATTTATTAATTTTGAAACAGTAGCTAAAAGGGATAGAACAAAACAGGCCTGTACTTGTGCTGCCAAAATGAAGTAACAAAAAGTGTAGGAAAGGGATGCGTGCTTATCCATCTCCCAAAATAGTGAAAAGCTAAGAACCTATAACATTGGCCCTACAAACACCACTACCACTTTCCTTAGCTATTCTCTTTGTTGTCTTTATTTTATTTATCCCTACCATATGCATGGGTCACACACCCTCTTCTCTTAACACACCTACACGTAGACACAGCCACAAAAAGTACCCATATAAAGATGTAAACAAACAAACCAATAACTGAACTTGCAAGTTACCAAAACGAAGACATCGAAGAAAAGCAACATTGTTGTGGCTTCGGTATCTGAACCCCTCAATTTTTGTTGTCCTTCTTGTTGTTTGTCTTGGAACTTTTGCTTCTGTCCTGTGCTTCACATTAATGAAATCTTCAGAGACATGCAATATATTATAGGACAATTTTGAGACCAAGATGAAGAAGCCTCCAATTATCATATAAACAAGTTATTTTATCATACTATCATGCATAAATAATTAAGATTAACATTAAACAAAATCAATTTTAAACAATTTTTCTTGTTATAAAATGAGTTTAATAATTTAATAATTTTTAATAAATTTTAAATAGTAATAAAATGTTTGTTATGAAAAAGTATGACAAAAAGTATTCTACTGGTCTTCGTAGTCATAAAAAGATTATTTAATTCTCTTCATAAAAAGGAAAAATTTTAAATTCATTTCTAGAGTTTAATACCTCGTTCAATGATTATTTCAGACCTAATTAATTTGTAGGAATCAATTGAAAAGGCAAATCTCTAACGATACATGTGATCCAAAAGTGTCTTTGTCTTTACACAGGCCTGCAGTTCTGACTAGAACTCACAACTAAACTACTATTATTTTCATTTGTGTATAGTCAGATATTTCAGAGTCACTGTTTGTACGTATGGAACTGAAGATTTTCTTTTTCCTTGCTCAGTTTTTGCTTATTCTTATGGTTATTAATCCACTCCTTTCTTTACTATCCTGGAAGTTTAGTTGTATAATTATCAAGTATCTTTAAACTTTGTTTGAAGAGTAAGAGAGAAATAACACAAAAATTTCTTAAATTCAAGAAAGTTTAATTAAAAACATGAATTTATGAAATTTTTAGAAAATTTATCAAAATATTTCTTACATTTAAAAATTCTTACGTAAGGATTATTATCAAACATTTTTTCTTCTTCTAAATTTAACTCTCCAACAAGTTTTAATAAAGATAATCAAATAAACAAAAAAAACAAATTGGTTGGTTGTGTTTTATTGTTATTGATTTGATGCGTGTGTATTCACGCATGCACGTATATGTCAGAACTATGCAATTTGTGTTTTGGTAGAAGCTAGAAGTTTACTATAGCAAGAATAATATATATGGACCAGTGGCATGGCAAGTTATGTGATCAAAACAATTTAACTATATGCTTTTGATTCCTGGAAGTTGCTCGTATATAAAATTTTATTTTTCAGGCAATTATGCCTTTGCCAAATTAGATTGATACAATGAAATGCATTTTCACCCTGCATATTAATTGATCTTAATTAGCTGCTGGATTTATGATAAGAAAACCTTCTAATTAAGAAATCATCACCTTGTATTGTACCATATATATGGTTTTCCACTGAATTTTTGCTTCATTTTTAAATTTGATAGCTACTTGAATTTAAACTTATGAACAAAATTTTGGAATTAAATGTGTTTCAATTTATGTTAAAAAAATGCAAACATAGATTCAATTAATGCAAAGATTATACAAGTAATAGCATTGAAATAAAGGTGAATCTATAAACATTTAAACACGAATCTAAACATGCATGTGTTGCCTAGCACGTTGGTTAATTAGCAACTATCAAATATCTGAAGGCTTAATGCACGGCAAGTAGGGATAATAATATATACATCTAGCTTATTGATAAGTGTATGCTGGTTTGGCAAAAATAATCTATAATCTATATTTAAATGTATGAATGTTTTTTTTTTAAACTTTTTTATTAATTGTTGGTGGGCTTAGAATAAGTAACATTTTCTTCCATGGCTCTATGCAACCATAGGGTTATCCATTTAACTGTTCAAGTATCTATACAAATAGCTTATTGACAAGTGTCTGCTGGTTTGGCAAGGAGAAAATATGTTGAATTAACTTTATTAGAAACAATAAAGATGTAGGAAAGTGAGGAAATAGTGGTACTGCCACTATTGCACAAAAGTGTTTCGCACTCTTTATTCACCAAAAATCAATTCATCAAACTATAACATTTCACCCCTAATTAACTCTCTAACTCTTCAAAAAAGCACTATTAATTAATTTTCTCAGAAGTTGAGAAGTTTTTTAGCTCCACATGCAGCGAGGTTCAATTAATAATTGCCACCAAGTTTTGCAAACATTACTCAATTGCAATTTGTCCTTAATTTGTCTCAAAATGTAAAGCATGCATATGCAATATTCAGCTTGCCTATTTATCCATGTTATTCAGCAGTTTTGAAATATAAAATTTGTACCAGCTAGTTTCTTGGTCTCACATATTTGTGAATATGTGCAAGAGATTGTGATCTGCGACTGCAAGAGATTGATCACTTTGGGCAATTCAATATGTATGTTTCCACATCGTTTTATGGCCAATGATGGGTATATTTTAGCCTTTCTTTTTCCCTTTCGTTCCATCAATTTTTCATTGCTTTATTCCTCTTTGGGTCTCTTTATAAACTGTTGAATACAATTTCACCAATCTGCTTTTATTTATTCCACAATTACAAACATAAAAATTTGGTAATAATATTACAATAGGTCAAACTTAACGAGTCCTAAAATAAAGATAAGACATAATCACTTAAACAGGCTCAAACTGTCATCAAGATAAACTTTCATTAAACATTCTATTGGACCAATTAATTGGCCCAAACCAAAAGGCATAATTATGAAAAATAGTACAAGATATTCTCCCTCCCCTTCCCATTTCATTTTCATTTTTCGTTACTATACTATTTTCCCTACACCCATTGTTCATAAACTTCTCATCTGCTTAGACTTCCCTTCTGCTTCACTAGAACAATAGTTTTAGATTTTTGCTTGAGCCCCATAATCGGTGACTCGTCTATAGTATCGTTGGGCTACGTCATGACACTAACCCAAGCCCAAGAGGTGTATACCCACACAATCCCCCATCAGCACCATGACTGCAACTTTCCATCTCCATCTCGAATTAACTGCTTGAATCTTCTACCCTTTTGGATGGATTATGTGTCTTCCCTTTCCAATATGTAAAAAGAAAATGCAAGCCACGAAAGTCTTCAACTTTCAAGTAGCTGCTGCTGCTGCTGCATACAGAAACTTCAGCACCAAAGGGGTTGCAAAACCCTCATCTTGGGCTCTCATCAATCGCAAAATCAAGCACAACACCATAGTGGAGCAATGCAGAAACCCCATGTCCAAGATTGAATGGGGAGAAGAGCAAAAGCATGTTCTTTGTGCCATATCTGAGGGAAAATCTGTTTTCATCACTGGCTCTGCTGGCACTGGCAAGACCCTTTTGCTTGAAGAAATCATCAAGTTTTTGAACAGATTGCACACCCCATCTGGTGTTTATGTCACAGCATCCACTGGCATTGCAGCTTGTGCTCTAAAGGGTCAAACTTTGCACTCTTTTGCTGGAATTGGCATCTTCACTGATGATGATCCTCAGCATTTGTTGGAGAGGGTTTTGTCCAACAAGGGTGCTTGCAAGAGGTGGAGAAAGGCTGAGGCTTTGGTCATTGATGAGATCAGCATGGTGAGTGCAAAACTCTTTGATAACCTTGATTATGTTGCAAGAGGGGTAAGGGGTGTGAATGAAACCTGGGGAGGGATTCAACTTGTTGTGAGTGGTGATTTCTTTCAGTTGCCACCTGTCATTGACAAGGATTCTAAAAGTGTGAAGTATGCATTTGAAGCTGAGTGTTGGAATAGCAGTTTTGGTTTGCAGGTTGAGCTCAAAAGGGTGTTTAGACAATCAGATTATGGACTCACAAGGTTGCTTGAGGGTATAAGGAGAGGGGAGAATGATCGACAAGATTTGGAGTCCCTAGAGCATTTGTGCTTGGGGAATGATGAGTATGATCCTTGTGTTGTGAATCTTTTCCCTTTGAATAAAGACGTAGAGAGGGTGAATGAGGAGAGGCTGAGAAGTTTGCAAAAGGATGTTGTTGTTTATAGAGCTGTTGATAGTGGTAAAGGGCATTGGAAGGGGCAGCTTAGTTGTGGGATAGCACCTTATGAAATTTCTCTTTGTGAAGGTGCAAGAGTTATGTTGGTCAAGAATTTGGACACTGAGAATGGATTGGTAAATGGGGCTACTGGTGTAGTTGTTGGATTTTCGTGGTCCTTTGTTAAGGGTGAAGATCTTGATGGAATGTGTAGTGATAAAGTGTTGCCAGTAGTGAAATTTGATGCAGGACAATTCATGACAATTAAACCAGCAACATGGGATGTAATGGATGGACTTCAAGTTGTTGCTTGTAGGAAGCAGATACCACTTATATTGGCATGGGCTATGAGCATTCACAAGTGCCAAGGAATGACTCTTGATAGAATTCACACTGATCTGTCTAGAGCATTTGGTTGTGGCATGGTGTATGTGGCACTTTCTCGGGTTAGAAGCTTGGAAGGACTTCACTTATCTGCTTTCAATAGGTCAAAGATTAAAGTGGACCAAAAGGTCTCGAGCTTCTACAGGAGTTTGGCTTCAGAAAAGAGTACGGAGGTTATGGTTGTTGATAAGAGCAAGAGAAAAGTTCACTCCAAAAGAATCAATGGTGTCTCAAGAAAAGTGAGTAATGGCAGAGCAAAGTACATGTCCTGGTTTTGCCAAAGGAAAATGAAAAAAGAGGCTCAATACTTTGTTGTAATTCTTCTTATTATTGCAATGTCATACTATGGTCTTGTTTGAACTGATCTGAGGATGATGTTTTGTAATGAAGTCCTCAAGTGAAATTTCCCTCAAGACGGTGTTATATCAGACTAATGCAAGATTTGGAAAAGCAATGTAGTTGCTAGTATTATTTTGAACCTTGAAGCTGTTCATCCTGATCGAAATTGAAGTCTAGGACAAAGCTGAGGTTTCAGAATCATTGTTGTGTAGAAAACTAGTTTACTACTAATCTAGACATTTGTTATATTTCTTATATGGGTATGATAAGTATAAAGTGTAAATAGTAAATGTTAATATTATGAAGTTCTCTTTCTGTTTTTCTTTGAAGCCTCAACCTGCGTAGAGCATATTAATCAGATAAACACATCTGTGAGCTTGCTAAGCCAATGTTTTACTATGCTAAGGATTAAGGAGATTACAACTTTTGAACATGAATGACCTCTTGAGAAAAATGCTACTGAAAATCCACCATGAAGAAATTATAATGTATAACTTTATAGTTCAAATCTTTCTTTTTTTTTTTTTTTTTTGAAATTGCACCTTTGTTTTTAAATCATCAGCAAAATTATTTCATTTTTCAAATGATTTCTTACTATATTATATTTTTAATATTTTTTCTGAGTGCATAGTTTTAAAATGTTTATTCATAATAGATAATTTTTAAAATATAAATTAATATGCTGTCATGTATTGCCATGTTGACATATTTACTAAGGTGTCATTATTTGTTGTAAACGAATAAAGTTCATAAATTATTTTGGTAATTTGTATCTGCTTTGTTCTTATATTTGAGAGTAAAATAATACATTCATTCTTGATTTATTATAAAAATATGTATATAAAAGATTTAGAAATCCCCAAAAAATACTTATTTTCCAATAAAAAAATAAAAAATTTATGACTTCCTTCTCGCTTTCAGCACATACGAATTTTTTTTTGAATATCTAAATTATCAATGAGAATTTTAATTGGGAATGATTACGGGTTTGGATAACTTATAATTGTGAAAGACAATTTTTTGGTTGCATATTTTTTAATTTTTTATAAATATAAATTACAAAGAAACATCTAAGTCGATAATCCGAAGCCTATTCTAATAATATATAAGAAACATATAAATATAATTTTTTTATGATTGGATTGGCTTAACGGTTCAAGCATGTAAGTTATATCTTTTCTTTTCTTTTTTTGTGCTATTACCAACTACAATTTAACTCAACATATCTTAAAAAAAATTCAACTCAACCTATCTTAATATATGATCAGTTTCGATTTAATTTTTCTTATAATTCTTCTGAGTTACCCTCGTTAATTAATTTCGAAGCTAAAAAATGTTTGACATGAACAAGAATTAATAAAATATATTTAAAAAATATGATAATAAAATAGAGTCTTGTCATTTCATTATGTAAATAAAATATGATAACTTTAGTCATGCATCACCTGAATCAACCTTACATAGAGCTAACCAATGTCATTATGAGAGATATGCTTAGCCATTACTCTAGATATGCAAACATTGACTTCAATGTTGAAGTACTCTTATTAAGTTCATATGCCACTTTTTGTCTCACATATATCAACATTATTCTAACTTGACCTCTAAACCATGTTGAACAACCTATGAAAGATATTATATCAATAATCATATGTCAATTAATCGATAATGAATTATAAAATAAGTTAACCTTAACTCTTAAAAATGAGTTTAAGCAACTCAAATTAATAAAATCTTATTACAAAATATTTTTTTATAATTTTACAATAAAAAAAAATTACTGCATTTAGATGTCTAAATTCAGTTCTAAGAACTAAGATTAAAATAAAACCTTTAATTACATGACTAAGTAATTAAGAAAAATATTTAAAAAAATTTACAAAAAAAGAACTCACGACTTTTATAAATTTTTAATTTATTCTTAGGTTTTATAATTAAAATTTTGCTATAAGCCTGTTTAATTAAAAAATATTTTTTAAAATATTTTTTTCGATTTTATTGATGGAAACATGTAGCTAAAAGCCCAAAACAAAAGAACCTGTAAAAAAAACGATGGGGATTTGATCGACGCAATGCGGAATTTTATTTATCCTTTTTCTTAATTTATTAATTAAAAAATTATTAATCTCAATCCATTTAATCATTTATAAATAAATAAAAATTTATAAAAAAAATACATAATTATTATATTAAAATTATAAAAATATAATAAATACTTTTTTTCTCATAAAATTTTAATATTAACTGTTTATCTTCTACCCTAACGTAACAAAACCCATGAAACACAGATATGGCCTCAAACGACCATTTCGGCTCTTTCAGTTTTACTTCTCACTCCGTCTCTCTCAAATTCTCTATTGATCCGTGAAGCTACTGATTTCACCCCCAAATGCTCTTCATAGAAGACACTATCAATTTGGTAATCAAAATTTTCCATTATTTTATAATTTTCTTGCTTTAAATTCCCTTTACTTTCAGTGAATGTAATGCCACAATTGTGATAGAAACTCACTTCTATTTCACCCCCCATATTTTTCTGCATCAAATTTGTGCAATAACCCATATGGGGATGTGAGAATTAGAAAAAAAAAAAAAAAGATGAGATTTTTTACCCTTGGAATAGTTGTTGCTGCATATAGTAGAAACTTGAGCACAAAGGGCTATTCTTCAAGACCCTTATATGGGTTTCACAACAAGTACAAGTACAAGTACAAGAACAAGGACAAGACATCATCAGAGAGAAAACAAATTAAGCCTATAATTCAATGGACAGAGGAGCAAAGGAGCGTGTTGTCTGCTGTAACACAGGGAAGTAGTGTGTTCATCACAGGTTCAGCTGGGACTGGGAAAACCAAATTGCTCAGTGAGATTGTTAAGCTGCTGAAGAAATTGCACACCCCATCTAAGGTTTTTGTCACAGCTTCAACTGGGGTTGCAGCATTTGCTATAAAGGGGCAAACTTTGCACTCTTTTGCTGGGATCCGTAAGTCCAGTGATGATCCTCAAAACTTTTTGAAAGGGATTAGGGATAACAGGAGTGCAACCAGGAGGTGGAAAAAGGTTGAGGCTTTGGTTATAGATGAAATTAGCATGGTGGATGCAAGGTTGTTTGATAACTTAGAGTTTGTTGCAAAAGAGTTGAAGGGTGTGGATGAAACATGGGGAGGGATTCAGCTGGTTGTGGTTGGGGATTTCTGCCAGTTGCCGCCTATTCCTGATCGAAGAGCCAAGGGTGTGATGTATGCTTTTGAAGCTGATTGTTGGAATGATAGCTTTGATTTGCAGATAGAGATTACTAAAATATTTAGGCAGTCTGATCCACTGTTTATCCAGTTGCTTCAGGGCATAAGGATGGGGGAGAGTGATCGTGTTGACTTTTCATTGCTAGAGAAGTTTTGCTCCAAGACTGAGTGTGATCCCTCTGCAGTGCAGCTCTTCCCATTGAAGAAAATTGTGGAGACAGTGAATAAGGAGAAGCTTAAAAGCTTGCAAAAGGATGTTGTTGTTTATAGAGCTGTTGATAGCTTTAAGGATCAAGGTAAGGGCGCTAAGTTGAAAAAAAAGGATCAGGGTAAGAGTCGTTGGAAGAGGCAGCTTGAGCTAGGGATAGCACCTGGTGAGATTGCCATTTGCGAAGGGGCAAGGGTCATGCTGGTCAAGAATTTGCATACATGGAAAGGGTTGGTGAATGGAGCTACTGGTACGGTCATGAGGTTTGTTGAGGCAGGGAATGTTGGTGATATGTGTTCTGATAAGCTGCTGCCAGAAGTCAAATTTGACTCAGGGAAAACTCTGACCATTAACCCAGAAGAGTGGCATGTAATGGATGGAGATGAAGTTGTTGCTACAAGAAAACAGATACCACTTATACTGTCTTGGGCTCTGAGCATCCACAAATGCCAGGGAATGACCCTAGACAAAGCCAAGATTGACTTGTCAAAAGCATTTGGCTGTGGAATGGTTTATACTGCACTTTCTCGTGTTAAAAACTTAGGTGATCTTCATTTATCTGGTTTTAAGCCCTCAAAGATTCTAGCCGACCCTAAGGTTTCACAGTTCTATAGAAATCTGGCCTTGCAATGCAATAGCAAAGATCTACACAATAGTTGTATTGAGAGTAAAGATAGCTCTAGTAGCGTAACTGGTGATTCAGATAAAGCAGGCTTTGTAGAAACAAAGTGCTATTTTTCACTCTCTGAATTCCTAGCAAGACGCCTGAAAAGATCTTGAAGATGGCTCTTAATTTATGTTCCTTATCCTTTCAAAATGTTTACCATGGTACTTCAGTGAAATTGTCATGACTCATGATAGTATATCTACACAAATTGAAGTCATAAGTCAACTATTGCTTTCATTCAGTGGGTGCTGAAGTTGACTTTGGCAGGATTTGAAGGGCAAAAACGTTTTTGCCCTTAAAGTGAGAAGAAAGCTTGGCAATGATGGACCTTTCATTCTTCTTGTTCAAATGAAGGATATTATTATCTGATATTTGTGTGACAAGTATCATTGACGTCTTCTTTTGCAAGTAAATAAAAGTTTTCCAATTTTCTAGCATTCGTTTTTGTACAATTTTGATATGTAATTATGCTTAACTTTCTGAGGAAAGAAGGAAAAGCAAAAAGACTAAAAGTGAACTAGTGTTGGTTTTAAGTGGACAAAGATACAATAAAATGATAATTCAATCTCCATTTCTAATTATTATTGGTGGATGCAAACATAATGCCTTGTGTTTAGCCGGAATTATCAATCTAATTTCTACTCCAAGGTTAATTTAATCTTTGAATTCATATTTTGTGCAAATGTTTTGTCATCATATTGTCTGAATCCATCAATATGACCTTGAAATAATGTGGTTCTACGATGTTTGTGCAGTAACTTGACTATTGAGCTAGGCTAGTTCAAGTCATTTCTATCTGCTAGTCTAACCTTTGAGAGCTTTGTCTGAACAACTCATATAAGTTCACAAGAAATTAATAGTAAGTAAAATTTTGTCTGAACAAGATCCACCACGTAAGTACACAAGATGGAGGCAAGAATGGAATTAAGAAAACAACTGAGTCCTCATCCCTCATGCTTAGCCAACATTACCAAATTAAAATATTGCAAATTACCAAATTCATGCTCTAGGTGTTGTAGGCTAGAAAATTCATTTTTAACTAAATGAATTTTACTAGTATTAGTTTGGCTACCCTACCAAAAATTAATCTTGATGTATCCAAATTTCTAATATAGAGATCTTGAAAATGACATAGGATAAGGCAAGATAGGTCCTCTTATCAAAGTCTTTGGCACTTCATCTTATCGAATGATTACCACTTAATGATGCTGAATTATGTCAAAATTGTAAGTATTTTTTATTTTTGGATCATGTAACACTGTTATCTTCCAAACAAAATATTCTATAATTTAATCCATTCTATTGTGGCATTAGGCTTATTTGAATTAAGTCAACAATAAAAAAAGGGAATAAAAATCCAATAACATGATACTCTTATCTATATTTTTATTTATCAAGTTTGAGTTTTCATCTTTTAGAATAGGATAAATTTGTATTTATTTTTATTATTGCATAGTTATTTAATTTTTACATTGAGTCTAAATTTGTCGACACTAAATGTTAAATTTGACAATTTACACAACTTAATATTTTTAATAAAATACAAGATTAACTAATTTAATTATTAGTGTGAAGGTTCTTATATATGCGATTAAAAGTTAATATAATAATTTAATAGTTGAATTGATTAATTTTACATGATTGTTATTAAGTGTTATAAGTGTTGAAAGTTAACACTTGATATTAATAGAGTGTTACTTATTTTTACTATTAATCTTTTTTTAACTTGAATTTTGCAATTGCTGTGTTTTTCTATTTTGATTTACGTTTTTAAATTATCAACAAAATAAGCCTTTGTTAATTAAACCAATCTTATCTTAAATACTTTTTAAGTTAGAATTTTTATACATTACATGAATTTACAAGTATTCAGGTAATGCATGAGATACGAATGCTGACAGCGTAATCTTTCTAATGCTATTTTTTATAAATTTAATTAAAATATATTTACAGTAATAAATATTTTTATCTTATTATAAATATAAATTATTACATTTTTGAAAACTATTAATTTTTATAATACTAATTTAAAAGTTATATCCATCATATATTTTAATATTAATAATATAAAAATGATTTGTTCTTGAAGATATACCAAAAATAAACTCATTTATTATTATTATTATTATTATTATTATTATTATTATTATTATTATTATTATTATTATTATTATTATATCAAAATATTTTTGTTTTTATTAATTCTATTCCCAGTATATGAAGATATGGAAGGATAGAAATCTGAATTGATTTATTCATTACTAAGAAAATGTATTTATATAATAAAAATGATTATAACAAATATGACAAACTAATTAATTAAAATAATGATGCAGCTTTAAATAACTAATACATTTATCATAACTAACTATTTTAAAATGTCCTATTGGTTGGAACGCGCAAATGTTATAGTTATATGATACATAACATATTAGATATGCACTTTTGTTACCAATGTATTTAAAAATTCAATGCCTCTAAAACCAATTTACATCTTTTAAGGATTAAATTAATTAATTTCTAATCTTTTGAAGGACCAAAATGATTAACACTCTTTCTTTGTTCTATATCAGTTAGTTTTTTTTACTTATGTTTCAATTTTTTGTTTTTTTAGAAATATAAGATTAATTTAACCTTTTTTCAATTATACCCTTTGAAGAGCTACTTCAATTAATTACTATAGTGTGTGTTTGTGGGAAGTTGAGAAAATTTTTTTTGATGAAACAGGTGTAATATAAATCGAGGTATTTTAATTAAAATATAATAAACCTATATTTTTATTCTGATAAAATTATCAAATTTTAATCTTAGTATTTGATTAAGTTTTATTTATTTTTTAGTTACATTTAACAAAAATCATATGATTTTAGTCTGTTATCTAAAATTAAAACTACACATTTCTGTATTTTATAAAAATGAGAATAAAAAATTAGTTAAAAACTAAAATTAAATTTTAATAATGTTATAAAGACTATATATATATATGTTAAATATTTTTTAGTATATATGTATAACCTTAAACAATAAAAAAAATATGAAACGGAGAGTACTTAAATTTGTCTATCCTTATGTATAACGGAATATTTAAAATCACTGTTAATGCATTTTCTAACATTGAATTACTTTATACGATTTTTATAAATTAATAACTTTAAATAATTTTTTTAGTATTTTAATTTAATTTTTTTAGCAAAATAATATTTTATTACCTAATTCATTATTTTCTTATTTTTTTGTCATTTCTTCTATATTTATAAAGGGAGGAATCAAGTTACTTAAAAAAATTATCAATTTCATTTTATTTATTTTTTTATAAACATTAAATTTTATTAATTTAGTTAATAAATTAAAAAGTTTATTAAATAAATTAATTTTACAAAATTTTATATAAATAAACTTTTAATAATCACTTCACCTAATAATTTTATTTAACCTATAATATTTTTTAAAATATAAATAAATATAGAAGTTAAAATTACATGTTTATAATCACATAATTTACTTAAATCTTAGCATGCATAATAACGTGCTAATATCATATTATTTAATAGTTAAATTGATAAAATTTAATATTTATAAATAGTTATTAAGAAAAATAATATTAACGAAAGTTACTTTTTGAGAATAACTTAATCTTCATCTATTTATTATATTTTTTAATAATAAAAAATATTTTAAAAAATGTGTCACATTCTAATATATAATATATTCATCTTTTATTTTATAAATTAAGTTTTTATTCTTAAAAATGTAATAGCTTATATATTTATCGGTGTTCATACTTTCACATATCTTTTTTATTTTATAACATATGTTTTATTAACATTTATATCAAATTAAATTAACGTATGTTTTTTTAAAAAATAAAGTACTCATTTAATAAAATTTTATTTGTAAAATTTATTGAAACAGATTTAAAAATGATAATATTTATAATTTATTTTTGAAAAATAAAAATAATTTTTTAAATATTTATTTAATTTAAATCAATTTTTAATTTTATTCCATTAAAATTAAACATAATAAAATATTTGTAAGCAGTATCATGTACCAGCTCTTCAACTTCAAGTAGTTGGTTGAGTAAGCTAAGATAAAGTTTTGCAAGTTGGAGCTTGCAGATCTTAGATGAAATAAATTATGATATATATATATATATATAATTTTTTTAATATTTAACAAAATTTATAATTAAAATCACAAGTTAAGCTTATATCAATGAATTTATCTATTCAATAATATAATCATTATTAAAATAATAAATAAATATTCAATATAACTTTTAAATACTAGAGTTTAAGAAGAAAAATACACTAAGCATGTTAACATAAATTCTCTAACCATTACTTTTTACTTTGAGTTTTTTAAATTTAAAAAAATGAAAAAGTTTAATCTTTATATATTATTTTAACATTAGAATATCACAATTGAGATCTAAATGCATTTTAGAATCTAATTGGATAGAAAATAGGACATTATCGTAACTTAGCATCATAGTTTTGGTCAATCATTAAGAACTTTTGAAATTTTGGGAATGTGTCTTAGAATCAAGAATTCTCTTCTTTATTAGGAGCTTCACTAATTTACTTTTACTCTTCAAATAATTATGAATTGATTTATTATTGTTTTGATTTCCTATTACATTATGTCTAGTTATATTCATAGTTAGAATTATGAAGAATCATTTATATAACTTTACGTGGTTTTTGTAATTAATGATAATTTTAATTTTTTACTGGTTTTTATTCTATTGCATTATAATTGTATGTTTGAAATTGTAACTCTTAAAATATTATAATTAATTATATTATAAGCGACTATACTATATATAAATAATGAATCTATAGAATAAAATGAAGCAAAAGATTAAGTAGACAAAATTTAGTTTTTTTTTAATTGTTATTAAATTAATAACTTGTAAACTCTTTATATTTTCTTTTTTTATCTTGCATGACCATTAAAAGTAATAGCTTAAGAAAAATATTCATAGCATTGCATAACTATTAATTAAAATTAGAATTAATATAAAATTGAATATAGAAAAGTGTAAATGTAAAATCATATGCCCTACAATTTATTTTGATTAGATAATCGTAGTAGGTTGAATTGTTTTAATTTTTTTTAGTTAATTTTATATTTAAATTTTTATTTAATTTAATTTTGTATATCTTAAGTTCAAACAATTAAATTAAGATATTTTAGATACTTAGAAACAATTTTTATGAATAATATTTTGAAAATTTATTTTATAACTCTTTATTATTTTTAGACTAGTATACTTACCTACGAACAAGTATAAATTATTAAATTGAAGTGTTGTTATTAATTTTCTCTAATGTAAATATTTTTAATAGTTAATTTTCTTTTTTATTATCTCAAATAATTTTATTTTAGCATTAATTATTTAATTTTTTATTTTAACATTTTTTAAATTTTATAATTTAATTTAAACCTATGTATTGATTTAATATAATAAAATATTTATTATTAATAAAGTATAATATTTATCTTGTTAAAAATTTAGTAAACTTTAAAATAGTTATATAATGTATTTTTAATTATGAATAAGTAAAAATTATTTTAGAAGTTTTCTTAGTTAAGAATATTTTTAAAAATTGATTATCTTTTTCATGTATAAAATTGTAAAAGATAAAATTGAATTTGTTCATAATAATAACAAAGTTAATTAAACGTACAATTATCTAATTCAATTACTTTTTGTTAATTCTATTAACCCATTGTTTTGCCTATATAAGGTTTTATCATTGTGTATTTGTTTAAGTTAAATTCATAATTCAAACTTATTTTTCTTTTTAAACTCTTCTTTCTCAATCTGTCTATTACCTTACTTGGTATCAGTTTAGCTATATGATCCTTATAGCTTATGCTTCACAAAGTTTTGTGTCTCAAATATTCTCCATTGCAATTTCTTGCAAAATAAATGAAGATAACTTCCTTAGATGGATGCAGCATGTTGACGTTACCATCAAAAGTTTCAAACTCAAAAAGCATATTCTTGGTGCTAATATGATTCCAGAAAAATATTTGTCCAAAGATGCAGTAAAAAATGTTTTCAATCTTGAGTTCAACAATTTTGAACAAGATTGTTTACTCAAATTTTGGCTAATGGAATCAATGGATACACAATTTAAAGTGTGTTATTGGATTTGAATGGTCCCATCAAATTTGAAACATTCTAAAGACCTACTTTGCATAACAAACAAAAGCATGTGTGTAGTAATTACTAATTCAGCTTCGAAATGTCAAGAAAACATATATATCAGTGAGTATCTCATTCAAGTAAAACAAATAATTGAAACTTTAGTTGTTATTGGTTCTCTAATCACTATAGAAGAAGATATAGATGCAATATTCGATGGTCTATCAGAGGATTATGATGGCTTAACCACCTCTTACCTCACAAGGACAAAATCTTTTTTGGTTGCTGAAATTGAAGTGCTTCTCATGCACTAAGAAGAGTGTCTAGGGAGGCATAAACAACGTGATCAAACACTTATATGGGCTAATCTTGCTCAGAACCAATCTCAATTGAAGAAAGGTTTCAAAGATGCTGGAGGCCGATCAAATTCAACAAATAACTCAAGACATGGCTCCAAGAGTCAATGTCATTTGGGAAGCTTAGGCATTTTGCATACCATTGCTGGTATAGATTTGATGATCAAGTCCAAGAACCCAACCTCTCAAGCAATTATGCTCAGTCATTAAATTCTAAATATGGTGTCTTTGTCATGTTTACTGTTGCAAATTCATCCTCCAACTATAATGATATCTAGTATCTAGGCACATGGGTTACCTATCATCTAACACCTAACCTTAACAATTTGACAATCAAGTCTGACTATCTTGGCTCATAATGTGTTCGCATTAGAAAGGTAACATTCTTGGCATTATTCATGCTAGAAACTTTAGCTTTATTTCTAAAGATTCAGATATTAAATTTTCTTTGAAAAAATTATTATGTTTCTTAAATCACTAAAAACTTGTTTAGTGTATCACAATTTGCAAGGTGCAACAATGTATTTTTTGAATTCTGTGTTAAATTGCGCCTTGTTAAATCTCAGGACACCAAGAAAGTGGTACTTTAAAGACAACTTTAAGAATAATTTATATGCATTTGATTAAATGCGGTTTATTTATCCTATTTATTGAAATTTAATTTATGCATTTTCTAATATTGTTCATTCTAGTAATGATGATTTGTGACATTCTAGACTAGCTTACACTTCATATAAAGTTGTACATATGTTATGAGGCAATGTAACATACCTATTTCAAATATTAATAAAACTCTATGCTTTTCATGTTGCTTAGGAAAATCACATAAATTACCTTTTCATGAATTCGATACATGCTTTAATGAACCACTCAATTAATGTACTTAAATATTTGGGGACTATCTTCATTCCTTTTTAAGGATGGTTATAGGTACTATATCTATTTCTAGATGCTTACTTAAAGTTCACTTGAGTTTACTTCTTGCACAGTGGGTTTCAAACTTTGTTCACTTTTGTTTAATTCAAAACTTAGGTTGAAAATAAACTAGGCAAGAAAATTAAAGTCTTACAAATAGATGCAGGGAAGAGTATGTTGTTTTTTTTCAAATTTCTTGCAGAAAATAAAATTTTACATAGTTTCAGTTGTGCCTATACTCATGAGCAAAATGGATAAGGTGAACGTAAACACAAACACATAACAAAAAACTAGAGTCACCTTACTTGCTGCTTCACCTCTACCATCATAGTTTTGGGGATGATGCTTTTGCAACAGCCACATTTGTGATCAACTTCCTTCATCTGTAATAAAATTTAAATATCCTTTTGAGGTTCTATTTTCAAATGTTCCATATTATAAGTTGTTCAAGCCTTTTGGCTGTAAGTCTTTTCCTTATATACTACCCTACAATAAGCATAATATGGAGTTTTGAACACAAGATGGGTCCAAACCTTGCCTATTTCTTAGATATAGCTCAAGTCACAAGGGATACAAGTGTCTTTCTCCCTCAGGCAAACTATACATTGTTCAACATGTGTTATTTCATGAGTTATGCTTCCGATTCAAACAAATTACTCAAACCACATTTGTGCCTTCTACCATCACTCTTCCTTTGCCTCATCCTTCATCAATTCTAATAATAAATCACCAACCTTCAAATTTCAACCAAGTCATTCATTTTTTTCAATCTCAACATTTGGAAACTTCTAATCAAACTACAACTGAGCCTACTCTCACAAATCTGACCATTAACACCTCCTTCCTACACATGGAACCTTACCAAATCAACTTACACAATCATCTATCCTACCTACCCTTGCAACATCAACTATGCCTATCAACACTCATCAAATGGTAACTAGAGCTAAGATGAGAATTTTTAAGCATAAAGCTCTCATTGCTAACACTGAACTAAGATTAGTACAAAAGGCTTTATCATTAAAGGAATTACACTCCATTATGTAGGAAGAGCACTTGACTCTAACAAAAAATCAAACTTGGGAATTAATGCCTCTACTTCCCAATAGAAAAGACATAAGATGCAAATGAATATTGCAGATAAAGAGAAACCTAGATGGTTTAGTTGTCAAACATAAAGTTTGTCTTGTGGCTAAAGGTTTTAGCCAGCAAGAAGGATTGAATTATACTGAAACATTTAGCTCTGTGGTAAAACTAGTAACTATTTGAATTGACCTAAGCGTTGCGGTTACTCAAGGTTGGTTAATAAGGCAAATAGACATCAATAATGCCTTCTTAAATGGGTTTTTAACTGAGGAAGTTTATATGGGTAACTTGAAGGGTTTCAATGTAAAGATCCTAATCTAGGATGCAGATTGCATATAGCTTTATATAGGCTCAAACAAGCTTCTAGAGTTTGGTTTGAAAAATTGGCCTTAACTTATAAATTTTTTGGGTTTCATCCAGCAAAATGTGACAGCTCTTTGTTCATCCAACATCATTCATCTTATATCACCTAGATTCTAATATATGTAGATGATATCCTCGTAACAGGAAACTCACCTACCCTTGTTCAAAATTTTATCAACAAACTCAATTCTTTGTTTCCTTTAAAGGATTTAGGTCCTTGCCATTATTTTCTTAGGATTGAGTCTAAGCATACAACAACTGAAGGCATTTTGCTGACTTAGTCTAAGTACCAATCAAATTTATTAACAAGGGTTAATATGCATAATACTAAAGCTATTAAGACTCCTGTTGCATTGGGGACCAAATTGGTTGTTAATGGCACCAATACATTCTCAGATCCCTCATTATATATATCAGTCATTGGAGCATTGCAACATACAACAATCACTCGATCAGATGTCGCATTTGCTGTAAACAAGCTATGTCAATTCATGCATTTTCCTCTTGAGTTTCACTGGAAAGCAACAAAGATGGTACTGTTAGTTATTTTAACGTGTTAATAAACAGTTCTATTTAATAGGATTGACTGGTTCTGGTTAGTTGCTTAGTTTACGCCTAGATTGCTGCCATGCAGTTTTGTGGTTTTATTTTTATTGTTATTCTGTTTTGAGAGTCAAGTCTGTAAGGCTTATAAAGCCATTTTCGGATGATTGAATAAAATGTGCTATCTCTTCACATATTCAGTGTGTTATTCGTGTATATTCATTAAGTTTTAACAATTGGTATCAAAGCTTCGCTAGGAGCCTGATCCGGGGTGAGTGAAGCGAGCATCTTGATTCAGAGTGCAACGCTAATACAACTATGTAAAGCCATGATTACCTCAGAAAAATTTGTTCAACCAGCCATTTCAAGGTTTGATGGACACTATGACTTCTGGTCCATGACTATGGAAAATTTCCTACGTAGCAAAGAACTATGGTAGCTCGTGGAAGATGGAATACCAACGCTTGGTGCAACACCCATTGAGGCACAAAGAAGGAGTGTAGCCAATGCATAACTAAAGGATCTGAAGGTGAAGAATTTCTTGTTTCAAGCTATTGATCGAGAAATTCTTGAAACAATGTTGGACAAAAGCACGTCACAGGCAATCTGGAGATCCATGCAACAGAATTATCATGGATTAACGAGGGTCAAACGTGCTCAACTCCAAGCTCTTCGACGTGAGTTCAAACTACTGGCGATGAAGGATGGCGAGAAGGTTGACAGCTACCTGGGGCACACACTTAGTGTAGTTAACAAAATGAAATCTAATAGTGAAGTAATGGGTTCCAGCATAGTGGTTAGCAAGATAGTTAGATCTCTAACCACAAACTTCAACTATGTAGTATGTCCTATCGAGGAGTCCAACGACTTGAACACTTTGAGTCTTGATAAACTTCATGGCAGTCTGCTCGTTCATGAATAACGAATGCAGAATTCTCAACCAGAGGAACAAGTCCTGAAAGTTACGCATGATGATAGAGCAGGAGTCAGTCGTGGTCGTGGCCGCGGAAATCATAAGCGTGGGAGAGGCCGTGGAAGACAGCCTTTCAACAAGGCACTCATTGAATGTTTTCAATGCCATAAGCTGGGCCATTTTCAGTATGAATGCCCTGGAGTTGCGAAACAAGCCCATTACATGACGCTTGAAGAGGCAACCGAAGTCGAGGATGAGATTTTGTTAGTAGCATATGCAGAGGTGACACATTCTGTTCAGATGGAGGATTGGTTTCTGGGTTCTGGTTGCAGTAATCATATGACAGGAAATAAGCTCTAGTTCACAGAAATACATGAAGAAGGACTCCATAAAATTGTCAAGCTTGGTAATGATACTACATTGGAGGTAGCTGCCAAAGGAAGCATTCGGGTTCAGATCAATAATATTGCTCATGTTATTGTAAATGTTTATTACATTCTAGAACTCAAGACCAACCTCTTAAGTCTGGGACAACTTCAAGAGAAAGGGCTTACCATTCTGATCCAACATGGTGCATGCAAAATATTTCATCCAGACAGAGGATTGGTTATTCACACTACCATGCGAGGGAACTGAATGTTCTATTTGTCAGCGCAATATGTTTTCAACATTCTCAGTATTTCCAAGTGGAAGATATCTTAGAAAAGGAAACGTAATTATGGCATAGATGATTTGACCATCTCAACTTCAGAGGACTCAATACACTCGCACAAAAGCATATGGTGATCGGACTACCCTCACTGAAAATTTTCACAGCTGTATACACTACATGTCTTATTGGTAAACAGCACCGTGATACCATACCAAAGTTAAGTTCTTGGCGCGTATCGACTAAATTATAGTTAGTTCATGCTGATGTAAGTGGTCCCATCTCACCTGCTTCAAACAGCTGCAAAAGGTACATACTGATTTTTATTGATGATTATTCTCGTAAAACGTGAGTTTATTTTTTGCATGAAAAATCTAAAACCTTTAATACATTTAAGAACTTCAAAGCATGTGTTGAAAAGGAAGCTAGAACTCATATTGCTTGTCTGAGAACTGACAGAGGAAGGGAATTCACATCCAAGGAGTTTTCATATTTCTACACTCATCGAGGTATTTCCAGGCAACTGACAGCTGCTTACACCCCTCAATAGAACAGAGTTGTAGAGCGCAAAAATCACACCATCATGAATGCAATACGAGCTGTGCTTCATGTAAAGCAAGTTCCAAAGTCCTTCTTGCCTGAGGGAGTGAGATGGTGTGTTCATGTTCAAAATCGAAGTAGGGAGTGACAATGTTGATTCTACACCTCAACTTGTTGTAGCTAGAGGTAGCAATTTAGATTCAGAACCGCTTGAATCAGCTTCTGATTTTGAATCTACTGATCCTCCAGTTAAAAGGAGGGCAACAAGGACTCGGAGACAACCTATGTGGATGACAGATTATGAAACCAATCTATTTGCAAACGAGGAGAGCTTGCTAGCAATGTTGACGACTGATTCTGAGGATCTTCAAACCTTTGAGGAAGCTAGTAAGAGTCAGAAATGGAAGGAGGCCATGGACACTGAGATGAAAGCAATTGAAAGAAACAACACATGAGATCTAGTAAATCCACCTGAAGGCGTGGTACCCATAGGTGTGAAATGAGTTTTCAAAACAAAGCTCAATGAAAAAGGACAAGTAGAAAAATATAAAGCCTGATTAGTGGCAAAAAGGTATGCTCAGAAATATGGAATCAACTACACAGAAGTCTTTGCTCCCGTTGCTAGACTTGATACAGTGAGAGTGTTGTTAGCTGTGACTGCTCAAAATGCGTGGGAAGTGTTTCAGCTTGATATGAAGAGTGCTTTCTTGCATGGTGAAATTCAAGAAGAAATTTATGTTCACCAACCTGCTGGTTTTATCAAGAAAGGCAGAGAAGGACAAGTATACAAGCTGAGGAAGGCTCTATATGGGCTTAAGCAGGCCCCACGAGCCTGGTATAGTAAAATTGAAGCATACTTTGCCAAAGAAAGGTTTGCATGTTGCTCCAATGAACACACTTTGTTCACAAAACAGGTTAGAGACAATATTTTAATAGTTAGCTTATATGTGGATGATCTAATCTTTATTAGAAATAGCAGAGCTATATGCGAAGAGTTTAAACACTCAATGCAGTTGGAGTTTAACATGATAGATCTGGGCAAAACGAGACATTTTCTGGGAATAAAAGTAATACAGAATGAAGCAAGCATTTTCATCTGCCAAAGGCGATATGCGTATGAGATCCTAGCACGTTTTAATATGTTGGACAGTAACTCAGTACGAAATCACATGGTACCAGGAACCATTTTATCCAAGGATGATGCAGGAATTCTAGTAGATGCTACAAAGTTTAAACAAGCTGTTGGCAGTCTCATGTACTTGACAGTCACACAACCAGATTTGATGTTTGGAGTTAGTTTAATCAGTAGATACATAGCCAATCCCAAGAAGTCTCATTGGGCAGTAACAAAACGACTTTTCAGGTATCTACAAGGCACTGTTGAACACAGTCTCTTCTATCAACAGGGAAAGAAGATGAGTTTCACAGCTTATAGTGACAGCAACTATGCAGGGGATTCAGATGATAGGAGAAGCACTACTAGATCAGTGTTCATGAGTGGAACTGCAGCTGTATCTTGGGCTTAAAAAAAATAGCCTGTGGTAAGCCTATCTACCACTAAGGCTAAATATATTGCTGCAACATATTGTGCATGTCAATGTATTTGGCTCAAACAAATTCTAGAGCATCTTGGAGTAGAAGGAAAAGAAGCTACTGAGATTTTCTGTGACAATAGGTTTACCATACAACTGTCTAAGAATCCCGTTTTTCATTGTAGGAGTAAGCATATTGTAGTAAGGTTCTACTTTCTTAGAGATTTAGTTAATGATCAAATTATCACACTGAAGTACTGCAATACAAATGAGCAAGTGGCTGACATTATGACAAAAGCTTTGAAGCTTGATCAATTTGAGAAACTTAGACGTATGCTTGGAGTACTTGCAGTTAATGAAATAAACTAAAGCTTAACGAATGGATTGTTAGTTATTTTAACGTGTCAATAAATAGTCCTACTTTATAGGACTGACTGGGTCTAATTAGTTGCTTAGTTTACGCCTAGATTGCTGCCATGTAGTTTTGTGATTTTTGTTTTTATTGTTATTATATTTTGAGAGTCAAGTCTGTAAGGCTTATAAAGCCATTTTCGGATGATTGAATAAAGTGTGCAATCTCTTTACATATTCAATGTGTTATTCGTGTATATTCATTAAGTTTTAACAGGTACTAAGATACTTAAATGAAACTATTGATCATGGAATTCTATTTCAACCATCAACCAATCTTGATATTACAGGTTTTTGTGATTTAGATTGAGCCTCAAATCTTTTGATATGCGATGTACCTCAGGATTTTGCTTATTCTTAGGCAAGAATATAGTCTCATAGGTTGCTAAAAAACATGTTGTATCCAAATCAAGCACCAAAGCAAAGTTTTAAAGCATGCACTTGTCATAGAGATTTAGTGTTTGTGATCTTTTCTTTGTGAGATTAGAATGCAACCCTCCAAACCTCCCCTAATTTAGTGTGACAAGCAAGGTATAGTTGTATTGACAACCAGTTCAATTTTACACTCAAAGTCTAAACACTTTAAGTTGGACTTAAGATTTGTTAAAGAGAAAGTTTCTCAAGGACAAATTGTAGTCAAACACATTCCTTTACAGTTTCAATATGTAAACTTATTAACTAAGTCTCCATTAAGTATTGTCTTTAGTTTGTTTCTCTCCCCACTTAGTTCGAGAGAGGTTATAAAACATAAAATTAAATTTGGTTATAATAATAGCAAAGTTAGTTAGGCTAGTGTACAATTAGCTAATTCAATTACTTTTTGCTCTGTTTGTTATCTCATTATTATGCCTATATAAGACTTTGTAATTATGTATTTGTCTAGATTAAATTTATAATACAAATTTAGTTTTCTTTTTTAATATCTTTTTTCTCTTTTTAAATTTTTCTTTTTCAATCCGTCTGTAACCTTACATAAATAATGTCTTTACATTTGGCATGTTTTTAAAATTTAATATATATCTTTTAATTTATTATTTTAATATAAAAGTTATATCTATATTAAATTTTATTTAATTTTAATATAATAAAATATTTACTATACATATAACAATAGTCTTAAAATTTATGGAATTATTAAATGTTAAGATAATTAATATATTAATTTAAAAATTTATTTTAATTTGATAATATAGTTGAAATGAAAAAGGAAATGGAAATGTTTGTGTGTAATAAGTATAGTGTTTTTTGGGTCAAAGGATGTGTGTGGAAGTTGAGGAAGCCAGGAAGGGGCGGGTCATGAATCCATGATTATTAATTAGGGTGTGTTATGTGTGTTTAGAAATAGAAGTAGAAGACAATAGAAGAGTGGGCTTTCTCTCTGTGTCTCCTCCAAACTCATAAACCCCACTCTCTCACTATTCAGCCTCCACCTTCTCTCTAACTCCTATTCGTACGGACCCTAACCCTCTCTTTCTCTTTCTTCTTTCCCATTCTATATTTCTTCTTCGCATGTGCAATTAACCCATGCCCAGATCTTTTTTTGTTTAAATAATTTTTTTATTTACCCTGTGGCTGTGGTATGGTGTTTTTCTTCACCTACCCATTGGCCTTACAAGTTAGTTTCTCATAAGTTTTATTATTATTTGTTTATTTTTGCATGTGTACCTTCTATTTTATTATTCTTCACCCCTTTTAACCGTTATTGAAAGGTGTTTGCTTTTTTTTTTGTTTCTTTCAATCATTCATAATCATGCATGTGTTTCTGTGTGTAACTACGAAAAATTTAAGGGTGCCCTTTTATCAAGTTTTGATCTGTTTGTCTAGAATGTATTTTGGTAAGGGTTGGGGCTGGGTATTCTGATGCCCCTTGGATGTGGTTGGTTTTGGAGAGTTGATTGTTTGGGACTACGGTTTTGGGATATGGAAAATGTGGATTTAATCATGAGGGTGTGGTGTTTGAAGTGGGAAATGGAGATTTTGATGATGGTGATAGTAATGTGATTGCAATGATTAACTTGATGTTTGTTTACATTAGAACAAGACAAAAAGGTCATGTGGGTACCCTAATACCATACCTTCTGTGTGTTTATAATTGGATTTTAATATTCTATGCAGTTGTAAATTGATTGTGTGTTTGTGTCTATGCGGGGATTGGATATGAATTGAGAATGTGGGAGATTGCTATTAGCTATGATAAATTATAAAAGCCAAAAGCTATGTACTAGTATTTTTCATATATGAATTCTGATATAGTTCCTTTGCTGGTTGAGTATACTGTGCTGGTTATTACCATATTGCTAATCTTTTTTTCTTTGTTTAACTGTAGCAGGTCCATTAATCTGAAGAAAAAAAGTGAGAAGATTGATTCTGTTATGTTCTGAATTTCCTATCACAAAAGTTTTAACCAAAATGGAAAGTGAAAAGTCTAATGTTTCAAAGGCTGAAGAACTTAAACTCCTTGCTAATGAAGCATTCAATGGTAATTAATACTCATGGACTATTTCTTTGTGATGTGATTCATTTTACTTTCTTCAATATTGCAGTGAAATTTGTGGTAGGCTTTAGCCGAATCATTGAATCCTACTCAATTTTGATAAGCATTAGTACTGTTTTTGACTTGGTACTAATTCAACACATTTCTATGCGATTGCTTGCTGATCCTGTGAGTTCCTTTTCCAGCTCGAAAATATGCTCAAGCCATTGATCTATATACACAAGCAATTGAGCTAAACAGTCAAAATGCAGTTTACTTGGCTAATCGTGCCTTTGCCCATCTTCGGCTTGAGGAATATGGTAGTGCAATACAAGATGCTACAAAAGCTATTGAAATTGATCCTAAATATTCAAAGGTGCCATGAGTCAGAAAACACTAGAGGCTTTCCTGTATTTAGTTATCTATAATAAAAGCATGTCCTGATTTTGGTATGTTGTTATAGGGTTATTACAGGCGAGGTGCTGCTCATCTTGGGCTGGGAAAGTTCAAGGAAGCGCTGAAAGATTTTCAGCAGGTAACTACATGCAATTTTAAATATCTATTATTCTGTTGTCTTTAAAATATTGGAATGCAGGGACCTGGGTTGAAAATAACATGTTCATTCTAGTAGATCTGTTGCATTGCAAAAATGTTGGAGAACATTGATAAATTAATAATATTCATTAGTCATGTAGGTTACAATACCAACGAGAATTTGGAGATACAAAAAGAATATGTACTTTTGTAGGCAGTACCATCTCTAAAGTTATTTATTTAGTATATTTTATGGAACAGTTCTAATATTGATACTTGAAAGAAGCTTAAGAGAGGATCTTGTGTGCTAAAACATGAGAATATGTGATAGAAACTGGAACCAGAAATAAGTATTTTTTTCACTGAATATATGCTCTGTTATTAGTTCCTGTCTTATATGAATGCCATGCATCTGGAAAATGGGTTACAGTTTTTGTGAAAGGATAGAAAATAAAGAAAAAGGGGAAAAAAGGAAGATATGTTGCAGGCAATGTTGTCAAGATTAAGATCCTACCTAGAATGCAAAATTATATTGAAACACACACACACATAATTACATAAATAAGCAAAATGACTTTTAAATGCCTATGAGCAGCTAGAATCTCAGTTTCTCAGACCCACTATCGTTCCCAGCCCATTGTATTTTCACTTACAGCCAGAATAGAACCAATTACCACTCACCCAAACTGCCCTAAAACAGAACACTGACAAACAAATGTAGCACTCAAACTCAAACACTTGACAAGGCTAGGATGGGTACCTCACAGTAGATGCTATCACAACACTTGCGGAACAGAGCTCATAATTTGCTGGATGTCGCACCAACATATTCCACCCAGCAGCTCCAAACACATTCAGCATGGGTAGGCATCTCACTGCAGATGGAGTCACAAATCTCTGAGTGCAGAGGCTGCAAAGGCGTTCCCAGCACCAAAATAAATCTGATTGTTGCAAAAATCAGATGTGCGATGCAGCAGCTTTGCTCAAAACTCCTTGCTGTAATTTAAGTTGGGCTTCCTGAATATTTTAATACTCTTGGTTCTCCATTCTCCATCTCACAAGTTTCTCTCGGAACTGATATTTCTCTGCCATTTCTACTCTTGCTTCCATCTTCAAATCCACTATACTAATTACTAGAAACTGGAACTATAAATAGGTATTATATACTGAATATACTTTGTTGGTTCCTTTCCTAATACCAGTGATATCAATCTAGAAAATGTGGTTTACAGCCACTGTACAGGGAAACAAAATAAAAAAGGAAAAAGATGATTGTTGCAAGAAAAGTGGGTGATAATGATGGAGTAACCAAAGAAAGTGGAGAGATGAATTAATGCAGTTATTCAGGGATATTATTTGGGATATCTTTTAACCCAACCTCTACCTTTAGTTTTTTACTTTCCTTCAAAATAACTTTGACTAACTCACTCTTATTGTTCTGGAACATGTACTTCTTTCAATGTGTAAACATTTCTTATTTAATATACTTTTATTGATTAGGTAAAAAAAATGTGTCCAAATGATCCTGATGCAACAAAGAAATTGAAGGAATGTGAAAAAGCAGTTATGAAACTTAAATTTGAAGAAGCAATTGCTGTACCAGAGTCTCAAAGGCGTTCAGTAGCAGAATCCATAGATTTCCATTCGATAGGTACTATTTTGATTATGGTTTCTTGCACTAATGTATGATATTTTTCATATTTCTTGTTTGTCTCTCTCCCCTTGTACACACCTTTTTTTTTGGGTATGTTACACTTCATTGTATTATTTCATGCAGCCATGCTGTTATATCTCTTAACTTTTGTTTATTTTGGATCTTGTGTGTATTCTAATTCTAAGGGTACTGATACTATTTAGCTTTAATGTTGTAATGCTTCAAATAATATGTAACATGCCCTTAAGAGTGTAACTATAGCTTTGTTTTAATTATTTGAATGTCCTAATACAACATCTCCTGTTATTTTTTACTGTAAACTAGCACCCTTTCATATATAAATTCATGTTTTCAAGGATCTTAGCATCCTTAATGCAATAACATGGAATTGTCGTTTCAATAATTATGTTATATGTGAGAGTTTCAGATTTTGATCAGATTGGATATGGTCCTTAATATTCTCCCCATTTAATTGGGTTGTTGATGGGATTTCCTTCTTTGAACCCTGGTTATTTTTATGTAGTAGTTTGGATGGAATAAGATGCCAATCACTATCTGGTTTCATTTCATTTCCACACTTTGTAGTGAAATTTGTATTTGGTTCTGATACTGTTTAAGTAGTTATGTAGTGATCTTGACTCTTGAGTAATGGACCATTATGCTGTGAATTTGTGTATTTTATTTTCTACTTCCCAGGTTCTTGATTGCTTATGTATTTCCTTATGGAATTTGTTTTCAATCTTAATAAGAGACATGGAGTTTGAAGTTGATAGAAAAGGAAGGGGTAAATAGTGTAATATGTAACAGTCCAGTGCTTAAACTTTCTACAACCACAGGAACCATAAGTCAGAAATTTTGGTGCATTGTGACATGAGATTATATCTTCTGCTTGTTTCTATTTCATTTCCTTAATGGTTCAAGAGTCAAGAACATCTTATCAATATGATTAGTATCTTTCAAAAAGTTATTGATGGTGTATGCTCTCATCTATATTATTGTATCTTCCTTTTACATATTCATTTCAACCTTTGACCATCCATGTATGTAGTTTCTATTCTATGTGGCCTTATCTTACATTTTCTAGTAGGGAAAATGACCCAGAAGTTTTGCTCACCAAGATGTTTTACATTAAATAACTCTTTAACCATATAATGATATAGTTTAACCTGAGGAACATGCTAATTACCATTGAAGACAATGTATCCATTTCAGTTTGTGTACTCATTAACCAAGCATAAGGCCATAAACTAATTTATCCAATAATTGTCCTATATTTTGCTACTTGGTTAAGTAGATTAACTGTGCAATTAATTTGATAGTTGGTTAGTCAATCTATAAACTAGAATGGACTTGCCAAGCCAAACACATGGTTCATTTTCCCTTTCCTGTTTTCACTGATGCACTTTTCATTTCTGTCTCTAGTTTCCTTTGACATCCTTCCTTTTCATTGGTAACATGTCTTAGAAGGGTCAAAAAGTTTAAAAAATAATCACAATTGTATATGTGACCACACCCTTTTTACCTCTGGGTTGATGCATATGGTTTTTTTTTTTTTCCATTCCCCAAATCAGTAGTGAATACTTTCATGATTCCATCACATTCCTTAGGCGTCCTTCTTCCCTCCTAAATCCCTTTTCATAAATTCTAGGGATATTTTATGCCTGTCTATTTATGAATGTTTGTCATAATTCAGTATAAATCATCACTCTTTGTATATATTGTATCATTATAGGAAAGGGCCGCAATTCTTCGGTGCCAACCGAAGTGGCCATAGCAGCAGTGACAGTAGCAGTTATGGCAGCAGCGGTGATGTTGTTCAGGACATCAAAGACCACAATAGTAGTTGCAATTGTGGTTGGTTTGCTGTTGCTCCTTGGGGCTTTTTGGTGGACTGGCCACGATACTGGTACATTTAGGAGTCATTTACATAACCCAGGTCTTAGTGTAAAATTTATTAAGACCTAGAATATAGAAAATTGAGAATTTTGATTTAAGTCAAACAGTATCGTGAATCATTGTTGATAATGCATTAGAGAATAATTTTTGTTCTTTACAATGGAACATAATGCTTTATATTGGCTATTTTTTGGAACAAGTTATATTTTAGAAATGAAAAACATCTCTTGTGTCTCTTAAGATACTAGTTGATTAGAATATGATTATTACCGATATTGGGCTTTCTGATACTGATATAGGTTAATTCTTTTGGGTGGATTTAAGTTTGGTATATTTTCTGATAGGGATAGTAGGTTCTATGTATTTTTCATTTTACTTGTAAGAGTATATTTTATCTGAGACTGTAAGAGTGATAGGTTATCCCCCTAATCAGAATAATATAGAACAATGCATGTGTTACATCTAGTTTTACTATTTTCAGCTGCTTGCAACTTTCCTTGATTTTTTCTTTCTTTTGAGGTGTTCAATTGCCACCAAGATTGGCATCTACGAACTTCTGTAATTTGAAAGATTGTTGTGTATTTTATAATTGTCATTGGATTCAATAGAGATAGTGTAATTTCCTGATCATCAAACCCTCCCCTTCATTTTTATTGGATTGATAATTTCAGGGACCAGTAACAAAAAATTTAATATGAAAGATCAATAACTATTCTTGTTAATTTTGTATTGTCAGTTGTCTATAAATTAATGACCTAATTTTATTCTAGTTTGTATTTTTATTATTAAACTAATTTCAAGTTCTACTGTAGAATTTAATTCCACTCATGGACATGAACAAACTTTGGTGTTTCATTTTAATGCTAGATGTCGAGCCACAATATTCAGGAGCAAGAATAGAAGGGGATGTTGTTACTTTGGATTTTGTAAAGAAGATGATGGAAGATTTCAAGAATCAGAAGTGCTTGCATAAACGGTACTGAAGGAAGAAATTTCATTGCGGATCTGTCTGTTTCTAGATGAGTTATTGAATTGTCTTCTCTCTTGTCCTGCTTCAATTTTGTAGGTATGCATTCCAAATTGTATTGCAAACAAGAGAGATGTTGCAAGCTTTGCCTTCTCTTGTTGACATAAATGTTCCTGATGGCAAACATTTTACTGTTTGTGGTGATGTGCATGGTCAGGTAATTGGTTTATTATAATCTTTGATTTGTTTATAATATTTTGTGTCACATACTTGATTTTGAACCTAGGCACTACTGAAATTGATAGGTGAATTCTTAATAAGGTAAAACAATTTGCTGCTTATCCCTTCAATCATTCAATGTGACTTTTGATGCTTATAGATATTAGGTAGGGAGTAGGATTGTTGTTATAGCCTCTGTTTGATTTTCCTCCCATATTTCATATATTGACCTTGTAATTTATTTATTTTTCCATTATATTTTGCATATTCATTCAGAGGGGGACTTTGACTGCCATGTTGAATTTAAGACCCTGTCTTGGATTTTTTTATCTTTTTTTACCAATGATAGAAGAGGGAGTCTTATTAGAAGAGAAAAAAGAAAATAGCACAAAAACATGCATAAATAGTCTTTCTTAGAGAGGAGCAAAAAATACAGAGCAGAAAAAAGAAATTCTCATTTGAATGTTTGATCAAGAAACCCATTTGAAATAATGATTTTATCCCATATTAAAAACAGCTGCGAAAATTTTTCATTTGAAATTTTGGCATTCATTCCTATCAATATTGCTAATTTACAGCCTATATAGTCTTTAGTGCACTCCTTTTCATGGCTTTTCCCATATATATCTTATCAAAACCTTGGAAATGACATAACTTATAATTGCCACTCAAATTCAGATGCATTTGGAAACGTAAGCTAAAGAAAAACTATGAAAAATATTGACAGACCACTCTTAACTGTTGTAAAATAAAGCATCTTACCTTTCCAGTGGATGATGAGGGGAGAAAGAACACTCTGGAATTTGAAATATAACCCAGTCACCACTTTACTGACGTAAAACTAAGATATCATGGTTTACTATGTATGTCCATGTCATTCCTATTGTAGTGTTTCTTTGAACTTTGACCTTTCAAATTGATTATTTTTTCCCCATAACTCCTGCAGTACTATGATCTTCTGAATATTTTTGAGCTTAATGGGCTTCCTTCAGAAGAGAATCCGTATCTATTTAATGGTGATTTTGTGGATAGGGGATCTTTTTCTTTGGAAGTTATCCTCACTTTGTTTGCATTTAAGTGCATGTCTCCATCAGGTAAACCATATATCTTTATCAGTCTGTAAGTTTTTTATCATTTTCTGGATTATTACAATTTATTTGGAAGTTGAGCTTAATAAATTGCAGTATTTACTTTATTTTCAAGTGAATTGTATAATTCTATTACTTTACATAAATCTTAATTTACTTCTTTTGTTACTTTTTCCAGTTCACTTGTTTGAAGGAATATTATTCTATTTTTCCTGGGATGTTGTAACTTATTTTGTTGCCATATGATTTTCAGCCATATATTTAGCTAGGGGAAATCATGAGAGCAAGAGCATGAACAAGATATATGGTTTTGAGGGTGAGGTGCGCTCGAAGTTGAATGACACATTTGTCGAACTATTTGCTGAAGTTTTCTGCTGTTTACCTTTGGCTCATGTTATCAACGAGAAAATTTTTGTAGTTCATGGAGGTCTTTTTAGTGTTGATGGGGTCAAACTCTCTGACATTCGATCAATTAATCGATTTTGTGAGCCTCCTGAAGAAGGTTAGATGCATCCTTTTTCAGTTTTAGTTGATCTCAGAGTAAATAGCAAATACCTAAATCCCTCTAAAATTCCCATTCTTGCACTTCATAGACCTAAATCTCTGGCTTTTCATCCCTCAGCATCGTAGTTTTATGTATCTATGTTTGGTATGTGTAGGGTTGATGTGTGAATTGCTATGGAGTGATCCACAACCTCAGCCTGGAAGAGGCCCAAGCAAGCGTGGTGTAGGCCTTTCTTTTGGTGCAGATGTGACAAAAAGGTTTTTGCAGGAAAATAATTTAGGTATGTTTGGTCATTGGGCTGATACTTTATTTGTTCTTTAATCAGTGGCTTCACACAAATTACCTATTTACAGATTTAGTTGTGCGGTCTCATGAAGTAAAGGACGAAGGTTATGAGATTGAACATGATGGTAAACTTATAACTGTGTTTTCTGCTCCAAATTACTGTGACCAGGTAATCAATTCCCTTCTGGTATCACATTTTTTAGTAATTTTATGGCATTTGCTTACTTGATTGTCTCATAAAATTTCATGGGAGAGAGATGGGTGTGCACCCCTCCCCCCCCAAAAATAAAATAAAATAAAATAAAATAAAAAAAGAGAAAGAAAAACTAATGAATGTTGTGATTTATCCTTTTAGTCTATTCTTTAATCATTGGTTTAGGCTCAGTCCTCAGGCTGTGCTTGTGTATGTGAACATATTATTGAGACGAGTTCTAGGAGTGAAGGCAGTTGGGCATGCTGCATGACTGACCAGAATGGTTTTCCAGTCATACTAAGTGTGAATGAAAACAGTTTCACCATCTTGCATTTTACCATTTGTTGTTTGCATGGATTCTGTGCATGGCATGCTTATATTAATATCTAAGAAATTTCTTTTCCTTCTATAAAGTATATTTTGATGTTGGTGTTACTGTTGTTTTTTCACTGTATGCTGCAGATGGGTAACAAAGGTGCCTTTATTCGATTTGAGGCACCCGATATGAAACCTAACATTGTCACATTCTCAGCTGTGGTTAGTATCATTTTTGTTTGTAGTATGCCATGTTATATCATGTTGTCATCCTCAAAAAAATAATATGATCCTATGCATCATGATCCTATGCGTCTCTCATTAGGACATCAAGTTCAAATTCATTAGAACTTATCTGTCAATTAGTATAGTTGTATGGTGGTGATATACTTGTGCCTGATTTACTTTGTTAATTTGCAGCCACATCCTGACGTCAAGCCAATGGCCTATGCAAACAACTTCCTCCGGATGTTCCAATAATTTCTATAGCTGACTAGTAGCCTAGACTGCCAATGCTTTGTGCTGCTTTGCAATGTCAACGTTATGCCCCAACAAGGGCAAGATTCAGGTGGTGACTAGAGAAGATCTGGTATATGTTGGTCACTGTTGTTTTGTATAATATTTTTGGCTCAACATTTTATTAAAATTCATTTTTTCACCCCCCTAATGTTGCCCCTTTTAGTTTTTTGCCTTTTATCACTCAGTGAACAAGTGTAAGGAAATTTGCATCTTGATTAGCTTCGTGAAACTCTTAGTGATAAAATGTTTACTTGAAACTGATTACGTGGATCACGCTAAGGTGGATGCAAGACCGCTTTAATTGTGTTTGTGCTAGTATCTAGCTGTTGATTATTACTTGACTGTCAGCTTGACTTTGAATGAGTGATTTGAGTATAAAATTGTAGTTTGTTTTACCAAAATAATTGTGTTTATTTATCAGATACTAAAATATTTCTTCGCAAATTTCAGGGTAGACTAATTAATTTAAATTATCCTTACTAGCGGCGCTCCATGATGGTGACATAATATTCTAATATTCATTTTGTTATATAGACTTGATTGTTCACAGTCACTGCACTAATCAAAGATTTACTCAAAAGCACATACTAAAGTTAAGTCGTAATTATATGATCTTTAATTCCTTCCTAACTTGGGGTTGAAGATTATATGCCACTTACTCTAAGGCAATATTTTTGCTCTAAACAATAGATTGGAATTATCAACGGGCAATTCCCCAATGTGAAGCCAGACAGGGAAGAGTGATAAAGTTGTAAAATTACGGACTTCAACCGAATTGCAATGAAGTTGTCAACCAAGTTACCAAAAAACAAGGTCCAAGGAATGTTGATTATTTATATTACATATGGTATTAAATTCTGTGTGAATGATATATTAGCTCTTTTTAAATATTATTTATATTATGAAAACTATTATAAGATTATGAGTTGAGTTTATGGAGATTTTACAAGTTCATGTAGATTCTTCTGGTTGACAAGCTTATTAGCAAATATTAGAAATCAATGTATCAATTAATGTAGCAAATATTACATAGTTCAGATTAGTAAATTTTAGAACTGTAAGCACCCTATGGTGTGTGTTCGCATTAAGGAATTAATGTATCAATTCTATTCATCTTTCCTTGCTAACATTTTTTTTTTCTCTCGAGAATGTGGCTTACTTTACTGATCATTTCAAGTAGAAAAGTGTTTAATTTTCCTTTGTTTAGTAAGTTATGATGTTTGAATAAAATGGTGCTGGATTTATTGTTCATAAATGGTACATGATGTCAGAAGCTAAATACTTTTGGTTTAAGAAAAGGGATCTATATTTACTCTATATCATTGAATGTTTTAATAACACATCTCTAATTTACGACAATCAAATAAAACAACTAAATTCGATCGTGCCTACATTTATTACTAAACCTAATTGTCAAAATCAAACGGAGTATTTAACTATATGTTTGATTAATAGAGATCATAAAGCATTGTATCTCTAAGACTGATTTTCATCTTTTGATTTTGTCCCAAAATTTTTAATTTTTTAAAATTGATCTCTGGCAATGGTTCTAACTTCAAAATTTCAGAGTAATGGAGTAGTTAAAAATAATGGTGTTTGTGATATTAGACATTGGTACTGACATGATAAGCAATTTTTATGATAAAATGATTTTCTACACACGTTAAGCACCCTTCCCTCCGATAACTTGTGTCTAAATTTGGGTCCAATTCAAATGCTAACATTATTAACTCTCCAAATAAGAGAGATAAGTATATAGAATTCTATATTCTCAAAGTACAACAAAGAGGTAATAAGTTTTCTTCTCTATTCTCTCTCATTTTTATCATATTGTCTTTTCAAAGTGTTGTTCATCATACTTACAATAATGGAGAACTTGGAGCATGAGACCTAGAATGCAATACCTAGAACTATATATATTCATGTGTAATTTTATGCAAACATAATTTTGAAGATCGATCATTATAATTATACATAATGGAAATGTTTAGTAAATAACCTATCTCTATATAACTTACAGATCCTAACCTACATAGGATTTAAAATATGTACTAGTGTTACATTGGCCGCCAATACCTCTTCTCCTTTAAAGTGGAAAAGCATGTGTTGCACTCTACTGTGCAGTGCAAATTTCGCCTCTAAAAAAAAGACAAAACAAAGTTTCGTTTATGTTAGGGATGAAATTGATTGGAATTGCACCACATATTATCTTAGCTGTTCAAATTTGAATTATATTATAAAAAATACTATTTCATTTTTAGTACACAAAAAATTTAACAAAAATTTGACACGTGTTTTAATCTTTATGAAATTTAATTTAAAAAAATTAAATAAAAAAGCTGAAAAGCAGCAACTAATTAATCTCACTCATGGACCCACATCAATTTGGTCCCAATAATAGGCCAACCAATGAAGTCTAGCCCTGCTGTAGTATTCTTTGGGCCTTAACCCGGGCTGAAGCCCAATCTCCAATTGTGAGTTCCACAAATACCCTTTAATGTTGTTGCCCTCAAACAAACAAACCTGTGCTAAGTGCTAAACCAAGCGACGACGACGGTGGAAGTCGTATCGTGTTCTCCTCCATTCACTGTAAGCCTCTTTCTCTTTCTCTCTCTACACTTTTCTTTGTTTTTTTTCTTTTTATTCTAAACGCAATGCAATTACGAACCAAAATCTTAAGCCATGCAGATCTCTTCTCACCTTCTTCTTGTGCATCTCTCTCTCTCTCTCTCTTTCTCTCTCTCTGGGGTCCATATTCCATGTGGGACCCAAGTACTTCTTCTATCTGAGTATTTTTGGTGATGACCCAGTTGGACCCTTGTGTTCAATTTGCCAAAGTTTGTATCTTTTTTTATGGGGTGAGGGTGGTTTTGTGTGATTCACTGTTTTTCTATGTGTTGTTGGTGTGATGAGGAAATTCTTCATGATGGGGTTTGCGTTTTTGAGCCAAAATGGTGTTGCTTGTAATGCAATTGATCCTTGGAGATGATTGTTAAAGTGTTCTTGGAGTGAGTTGCATGGACTCCAATGAAATGGGAAGGAAGGGTTGTTGTCTTGAGCTTGAGCTTTGAGGAAGAATATGCTGTTTGTACTTTTGAGGTTGTGTCTTCAGTTGTTCTTGGCTTTGTGGAAGTTAAGGTTCAAGGGGATTGGGGAATTGTAATTTGTGATTCAGAAGATTGAAATGAGATAAAAATGTGAAATTATTGGAATTCTGGACTAGCAGTTGATAGGTAATATGAAGGAGTAGGGTTTTCCTTTTAAGTTGAAGAATCATGTTAAGTTCAAGGAACACTCAATAGATGAGGCTTAAGAGAACTGTTTTTATAATTTCATGAGCAAATGGATGAACTTTCTATCTGTATACTTGTTGAGTGGAACTCAGACAGTTTGGAACTATTTATTAGAAACTTCTCTAGTTTTCCTCTTTTTGTATCAGAATGATGCCTCCCGTGGTTTGAAAATTCATAGTTGTCAATATCTGGTAGTGAAGCTTAGCTGCCAATCCCAAAAACCCTATAGCAAGATATCACGTGGCGGGATGATCGCCATTCAGGATTTCTTTATATAGATTTCTATGTACATATAAATGCTCAAAAGTTAAAATGTTAGCCAAATTCATGACATATTCATAATTAACAATAAAAAGTCATTGGTCTTGGGCAAAAGATGCAAGTGAATAACAATAGATGTCAAGGAAACAAACACAATTCATCAGGTATATTCATATTTCAATTGTATGACATCTTAAACATTCAATAAAGAGTGAGGGTGGGTGTCACACAAAGAAAAGAACAAAGGAGGTTGAGGGTTCAGAACAAAGGTGAGTGTTCACAAAATGTGGGTGAGTGTTGCTGGAAATATTGCATGAGATGGCCGGGTGGGTGTTGGTCGCACAGTATGTTACACACTAGATACAACAATGGAAAACTACATATTGTTAAGGATTTTTTAAATTCTTAAGAGGGTGGAGATCTCAGCTTTGCTTCTAACCGTTTGCCTAAAAAAATGTTGTTTTGAGGCAAAAATGTCTGTTTTTTAAAAGCCTTGCCCTAGTGCCTCTATGGCCACAATTGCAGCTTCTATAGCTGTTATTCAAAAACACACATTACATTTTGTAGCCCACTCTGCTATAGTACCACTATAGCATGTATTGATAATTATTGGTTAAATGAATTTGAAGTGCTTTGAGTTTGTGTAACTCTCGGTACAGATAGTTTTAGATGTTTTTCTTGGATATAATCTTCTCATGAAGGAGTAGTGTGGAACTGTGGATGGTGAACCTGAAGTCAGAAGCTAATCGTTTGTACCCCATGATATTGCCTTGTAACCAATTCAATTATGTATTTTATTTATGGTCACTTGTTATTCAATACCAACATACATCATGCATGCTCAACCAAATATTGTAAATTTTTTTCAGCATATTTCTTTTCATGGAATTGTTTCTATACCACACTCTATTTCCTGTGACATTATTTTTTGAGAATGAATCTCAAGCCCTTTAGACTTTTGGGAAAAGCAATAAATGATGATCCTTTGGCTTCCTTTTGCTTGTAATCTTTCACATCTGTTACTTGTCAACTAACTGCATTAATATTGTGTTTCATCAGATATCCTGTGGGAATTTTCCTACAAAATGCTGTTCATACAAGGAAAGAGAATTTTGTAACTCAATGAAGCGTGAATAGATGGCAGTCAAAGTTGAGGCTTATCCTTTACTTCCTTTAAATTGTAGGAAGGATCAATCCCTAAAATCTGCTGTATAAATTCTTCTTTTTCCTGGTAAAGAAAATTTATCTTGAATTTATATTAGTTGTCTAGATCTGTGAGCAGTGGAAAATAAGAAAAACTAGTTTGATGTCATTCCTTTATGGGTTGAAAATTGTTGAATTCTGTCAAGTTTCACTTTTGGACATCCTTTAAATTATTCCAATTGCATAGTAATTATTTTGCTGTGTAAGTTTCAACATGATATGTATTTGACCAGGTTGCATATGGGTTAATAAGTTGGGACTTCTAATCCTTACGATTTGTAGGCTATATGTCTTTGATTTGTTGGTGAAATTTCATACCTTCTTCCGTCTTTTTTCTTTTTAGTACTTGGCAGTACTAATGTACTATCCAAGGTCATTGCATTGCTCTTTTTTCTATACCAAACATTTGAGATTTTTATAACTTATGTCTCTTCTTTCTTGGATGTTGATTTTCAGTCATAGTAATGGAAGTAGGAGCAGTGGACCCTTACACAACTAATCCAGGTCCAATTGATGGTTCAGTTCTGTATGACCAAGACAAGCATGTCTCTACAGCAGTTTGGGATGGACAGGTGCAGTTTGTTGGCTTACAAGCTCCTCTGTTTCATCTTTAATTTCATTTTCTTTTCTGAAAATTCTTGTCAATAGCTTGGTTTTTACATAATTGTTCTCTTGTTAATGCATTAACAGGAGCGTGGTGCCCTCAGATGTCACGAACACACTTCAAAGCTCGATCAGTGGACACTTACTCATAAACAGATTGAATTGGTAGAGAAGGCTGGATTTGGATACTTAAGGTCAATCCCTGCTATTAGTTTAGACAATCCACTAATCTCTGCTCTAGTTGAAAGGTGGAGAAGAGAAACAAATACATTTCACTTGAATGTTGGTGAAATGACAGTAACCCTTAAAGATGTTGCTCTCTTACTTGGGCTGGCAATTGATGGAGAACCTGTAATAGGTATTACATATACCACATGCAGTTCTGTTTGTGAAAAGTATCTAGGAAGAGCACCAGAATCTGGTTACACAAGTGGTGGAATGGTGAAGCTAAGTTGGTTGAAGGAATTTTTTTCTCGCTGTCCTGAAGATGCTCCGATTGAAGTAATAGAGCAACATACTCGCGCTTATCTTCTTTATCTTGTAGGTAGCACCATATTCTCCACCACTACAGGAAATAAAGTCCCTGTAATGTATTTGCCATTATTTGAGAATTTTGATAGATGTGGGCAATATGCCTGGGGTTCAGCAGCATTGGCATTCTTGTATAGAGCACTGGGCAATGCCTCGCTAAAAACTCAAAGCACCATTAGTGGCTGTTTAACACTACTACAGGTAATTTATTTAAATGTTCTCCTTGCATTAA